TTCCCACTGAGCTACATCCTAACCTTGATATGTATTTGACATTTTCTGTGAAAAATGTGTGTGCATGTACTCACACTGATAGGGTAACTATTTTTTAAGAAAATAAATGGTATCTAGATATCTATATCTCTACCTTGCTGTATTCCAACAACATACCTTGGAGATTTTTTTCCACGATAGACTTTTTAAAATTTTTTTTTAGTTGTAGTTGGACACAGTACCTTTATTTTATTTGTTTATTTTTATGTAGTGCTGAGGATTGAACCCAGCATCCTGCACATGCTAGGCAAGTGCTCTACCTCTGAGCCACAACCCTAGCCCCTCCATGATAGACTTTTAAAACTGACCTCTTTACAGGTGCCGCCTATAATCCCAGTGGCTCAGGAGGCTGAAGCAGGAGGATTATAAGTTCAAAGCCATCTTCAGCAATTTAGCAAGGCCCTAAGAAATTTAGCAAGATCCTGTCTCTAAATAAAATATTAAAAAGGGCGGGAGTCTGGCTCAGTTGTTAAGCACCCCAGTGTTCAATCCCCTAACAAAAGACTGACCTCTTTCTTTTCATTTTCTGCATATCAGTTCATGATATGGTCATATGGTAATCAAGTCATTCCCTTCCTATTGGATGTTTGGCATATTGCACACTTTTTTCCAATTACAAGTAATACAGCAGTGAACTCCAGAGTGCAGTGAACTCCAGGTGCTTGGGAAGTGAATTCACACAGTGTGGTACCTGGATCCACAGCATCAATGTTCCCTGGGAACTTGCTAGAGATGCAAATTCTCAGCCCTATTCTAGGCCTACTGACTCAGGGACTCTGAGTGTAAGGCTTAGTTATCTGTAGTTTAACAAGTTCTCTATTAATTCTCATGCATGATAACATTTGAGAACTACTGGTAGGTGTGTGTATATCCACATACATACTCATGTGTATGTGCACAGTCAATTTTGCTATACACAGATGTATGTGTTCCTAAGCATCACTGAATTATGCAAAATTTTGTAATAAAAGCCATGGAGCATATGGAAAAAAAATGGAGTTGGGACACAATCAAACCTTTTTTTAAATATTTAGTTTTTAGTTGTAGTTGGACACAATACCTTTATTTTATTTGTTTATTTTTATGTGGTCCTGAGGATTGAACCCAGGGCCTCCCACATGCTAGGCACTCTATTGGTGAGCCACAACCCCAGCCCTCAAAAATTTTATTAGTGACATATAAAAATAAAATCTGGGGGGGGGAGCTTAATAAAAAAGATAGCTAGTTTTATATATGTTAAATTGGTCAATATGCAAATATTATAGTAAGTATGGCGCTTTCCCTTGAAAAGACCTGAAGCTAGCTTATGATGTTGGTGTTGGAGGGGTTGCCCATGTGAGATATTGTGTAGTGGTGCAAAGAGGACTATCTGCAATTGGAAGAAGAGTTTTAAACCAAATGGGTGGGTGCAGCTTGTAACCCATGCTATAAACTAAGGCAGTTGGTCATGTTGAAGTGTGTTCTGCTGAGCATTTTGTTTATTCCTATGTGATTTAGTTCAGTTGGTTTCAGTTTTCTGCTTTCAGCTAGCTAGCATTCCTCGTGGATGGAATTTCATGTGAGCAAATGTGAGTTGGAGTTGTGCCCCCAAATTTCACTAGCTATCTATCATGTTGGACGATATTTGTCTTTTGTTTTATATAACAGATTCTGTTATAGCAGAACTTGATATACATATGTATAAATACATTTATACATACATTACACAAACTAACTCTATACACCACATTAAAATGCTGTTTTTCTGATTAATTTTTCTCACTTAATATCTCTTAGAACCTTTCCCATATCATCACCTAGGGAATTACTCATTTATTTTATTTATTTACTTTTTTTTTTGCAGTGCTGGGGAAGGAACCCAGAGCTTCACGTATGCTAAGCAAGGGCTCTACCACCGAGCCACATTCCCAGTCCAGTTACTATTTTTTTTAGAGAGAGAGAGAGAGAGAGAGAGAGAGAGAGAGAGAGAGAGAATTTTGTAATATTTATTTTTCAGTTTTCGGTGGACACAACATCTTTATTTTATTTTTATGTGGGCCTGAGGATCAAACCCAGCACCTGGCGCATGCCAGGCAAGTGCGTTACCACTTGAGCCACATCCCCAGCCCTAGTTACTCATTTTTTTTAAATGACATTTAAAGCATGAAGAGATGACTAAATTGATCTCCAAAATGCTTGTAACAGTTTGCACTCCCACCAATATACTTCTTACATTCTGGCCAATGTTACCTATTAGCAAATTAATTAATTATTGCCATTTTAAATAGTTTAGAATTTTTCATTCCTCTCCCTCCTCCCTCTCATATACAAACATCCACACCCACATACTGAAATCAAATGAATATGTGAGAAAACATAAGAAAAACCGATTTTTAAAAAAGGGAAAGAAAAAAAAATCCCTTTTCACCTATTTATTTTTTACTTCCATCTTTGCTAATGCAACTTATCCACTTTATGAGATAAGATACGGAGTTGACCCTGTTGGGATTCCATCTATCACTCTAGCTAGTTGACATCTCCCAAACTGCAGCTTACACTGTTAATCCATTCACTTCAGCAAAACATGCCTGAGGGCATCAGATTCTTATGTTTATCAGTATTGGGTTCCATGGCCCTGCAAACCTGAGAAGATACAGTTGATCAAGGTAATGTGATGGCTGTGGCACTTGAGTCTGAGGCCCCTGAAAGCAAAAGCTGCAGAAATCAAGGCTCATGCAGGTGTCAGATGTTTTCCTATAAAGAGTTTGGTGATGGACATAACTACTTCCAGCTGGGCACATTAGCAGGTGGGGGAATCCATAAAGGTTTAACAATTAAATCACATTGGTTTATGATCCCTGTTCTTATTAGGAAATATCATTGCTTTTGGATGATTTATTGTTTGCAACTGAAATTGTATATAAACATTGTGATTTGCATTTATATACTTGCATATATATGTACATATATCCAAATCAGAATTGCTTACTAAAAATAATCACCCCACCCCCAATGAGGAGAATGGGCTAATGATGTAAAGATGCCAAAGATATTTAAGGAAATGTGGAAATTATGAAGATTAATGTAATATTGCCCCTTCAAATTTGGTTATATTAGATGCAGTTTCCTCTATTTGAAGGAAGAGAAAACCTAACTGGATCCATCTCTGTTTTGCAATTGAGTTTTGTACCTTGAAATCTCAAACTATGATATTATTAATACAACAGAAAATAATATATATGCAAGAGTCTTATGAAACTAACATTTTACTTCTAAATTAATGCCATGGAGGGGAGGAAGAAAGAAATTTGTGGGGCAGTGGGGGAGAGGAAGAACTCAGAAAAGAGCTTTCAGTCTCATGGGGCCTAGAGCAGCTGCTCTGAAGCAGGCAAGGACACTGCAGAAGGCCTTCCCCGCCCCCCTCTTTCTTTCTCATTCTCTCTCTCAGTTACTATTCTTTGAATTCCCAGCTGTAATGACTAGTAAAGGCAACTCTCAGGATCAACCCAGGGTGCAAACTTTTTAGTGGTGAGTTGAAAGGACAAAGCCAAGCATTTCTCCCCCTCATCTACACATAGGGCCAGTTACATAATTTGTAGGGCTCAGTGCAAGATGAAAATGCAGGGCTCCCTGTGCAGAAAGCAGAAAAAAAGTACCACTGAAGGTGCCAAAATATAAAGCTTTATCTTCCATGGTCTCTCTCTATTGACTTGTCACAGTATTTTTTGATGCTTATTGATTGGTATTCTAAGAACAACTAACATTTTATATCATTAGCATGAATTTTACTGTTTATATTGCATAATGCCAGTTTTAAATGCAAATATGAGAAGATGTAATTTGTATATGGACCCACAAAAAATCATAGTTTATATGTAACTTGTGTGTGCATGTCTTTTTTTTTTTTTTTTTTTTTGGTGATACTGTGAATTGAACTCAGGGCCTTACACATGCTAGGCAAGCACTCTACCATTGAGCTACATCCCCATCCTGGGGAAAAAAAATATATTCATTCATACCAGCAAGGTAGAGATGCTGCACAGAACTGTTTTTACTTCCTAATACTTGTACAGTCTACCAACATTCTAACTTTATCTTACTTATGAGTAAGGAAGAATTGAAAGGAAAAGAAATTATGCACTGCCTTATCTTTCCCTTTCCTTCTATATTATCATTTTCAGTGTAAGAGATTGGCCAATACAGAGAAGTAACAGGAGAAATAAAGGACATGACAGGGTTCCTTAATCATTTTGTTTCATAGAACACTATTACCTTTTTTTAGTGAACTAAGCAAATCTGGTTCACATGGAAACCATGGCTTCTTGGGGCTGTCCTAGCACCTACTCAGTTCCAGAGTAACAGGCTTGTCTTATAGTCAACTTGCATGTGGCTGAACTCCTACATGTTGTGGGCCTGCCAGAATCTTGTGCTCCTGGGGTGTCAAGAGTGCCGTGTGCAAATGAGTTACATAAAAACACTAGACATAATATAATGTGTATCTCCTCTGCTCACACAAATGCTCCATTGCCCTTAAGACTTCATGAACAAAATACAAGTTAGAAGATTAAATTACCAAGAATTTCAAGACAGCAACAGTAAAGTTCTACACCAAGTGTGCAGTCCTTCTTCATGTGGGGCTTGTGTGACTGCACAGTTTGCATATTCATGAAGCTGGGCCCTTTTTGCATCAGGAGAAGCTGCTGGACAACCTGAAGCCTTCTCTGCATGTTGTATATGAAAGGACCCAGTTCTCTACAAGCCGGATACTGCCAATAGCATGTTTGTGCAAAATAGTGTCCTTGGAATGGTTCAATGCACTTATTTCAAGCTCAGATGAATTAATATCACCATTAAAGAGATTAGAGGACCCCAGTTCCAGATGGGCCTTTGGAAGCTTCAGGCTTTAGCTTTAAGGAGGAATTCAATGAATCAATCTCTATATCCCTTAACATTTTTTGTTTGTTTGGTTTTCTTTCTCCCAGGATTTCCAGCAGGAGAGCTGCAAAAGCCTTTCTTTTGGGGAACAGAATATCCTCGGTGAGTAAATTAGTAAAGAAACCAATTATTGACAAGTTAGGAGGGAAGAACATGGTGCCTTTGCAAAGGTCAAAATATAAAGTCAAAGAATTGAAGTTGTTGATTGTTTAGAAATGATGAGTACTCAGGGAACATGAACAGCTACCAATAAAGCCTATAGCATCATTGTTACAATAAATGCAAATTTTAGGCTTATATTTAATCAAATATTTTATACCATCTCAGGCCTCAGCTGCATAGTTTTCTTTAGTGTCCAGATATTTGGAATCAATTTTCCCTATATTTAAGATTTTACATATAGACATAGATATATCTCCATATAACTAAAGTTTTCAGCCAAATATTCTCCAAGATTCCTTTAAACTAAAAGTTCTAGAATTCTTTGATTTTGTTTATCAGTAAAAATTTAACTGAGCTTCTATTATTGTGGTTAGGTAGATGGAGACTTAGAAATAGTATGGTTAGGTCTGGAAGTTACTAGTTCAACGATTTGTTACTGAGTTCATGAGCATGATTTTCTGATATCAAAGTCAAAGTCAGGGCTAGGGATGTGGCTCAAGCGGTAGCGCGCTCGCCTGGCATGCGTGCGGCCTAGGTTCGTTCCTTAGCACCACATACAAAAAAAAAAAAAAAAAACCCAAAGATGTTGTGTCCGCTGATAACCAAAAAATAAATATTAAAATTCTCTCTCTCCCTCTCTCTTTAAAAAAAAAAGTCAAAGTCATAAAAAACTTAGGAATTAATATTTGTGCCTATTAGTTCCATCTTAGGCTGAGCCATAGTTGTTACTTCAGTGAGAGAGATTTATATTTTTTTTTCCTAAAGAGTTCTATGTCCTCACTAAGCCATCTATCATCTATTAAGATATTCACTCAACAAATAGCTATGAAGTATTGTTTGGGTGTTTGGCATTGGGAACATAGACATGCTGGAGACAAAGAAATCACGGTCCAGTGAAATGGCTTCCCATGCATCTATCTATACTGTATTAATTGATTGATAACCACAAAGAACTGGGTATCCTTTCTGCTCACATTAGTCAGCTTATCCTTCACCTGAGTGTTGGATCTAATTATGAGGACAAAAACAAGTCAAATTGTTTCCAGAGGAGAGAATCTGAATTGTAAATGGCCAAGATAGCATTACAACATTTCCAAAAGTGGGTGTTCCATGAAATGTTAGAAGTTAGTAATCCCTTCACCCTTCTATTTTTGGAGAATCACAATACTCATCAGCATAAAAGTTCCCAAGTTCTACAAGAAAGAAACCTAATGGGTTTAACCCAGAGATTCCAAAACTCTTTTCCCTGTGTTTTGGGAAATACTGGTCTAGAGTTCATGATTGAATAATAATAACTGAAAGAATTTGAGAATATTTGAAGGTGAATCATGTAATTATTTTCATATTTTTGAAGGAAAATGAAGGTGGCAGAATGATTTCTTATATTCAGGGCAATCAGCAGGTGTTTAGGTAGACTTTACTGGATCAATACATTAAAGACAAGGGAAAGAAATTTCAGATCAATATTAGAACAGTTTTTTATAGAACCACCCAAAAAGAGAATTGGCTACCTCAGAAGGGGCTGAGCTCCTGGTCATTTGGAAATATCAAAGCAGACACCTTATGACGATTTGAACAAGTTTCTGTACAGGAAATCATGCCTCTTAGTAGAAAGTTTGAACTAGATGACCTCAAAACCACTTTCAACCTGGAGATTTTTATGATCCAAACACAGGGTAGCCTACTTTATAATATCATGAGATCATGGTGTGTCCAGATGGTAATATAGTTGTTTTGTTATTGACAGTGAATGTTCTGTATATATTAAACCCAAAAGAGAAACTGAGTAGGTAGTGAAATTTTCATCTTCCCTGTTTTATTTTTGGCAGGCTAGATGTTCAATATAGGAACTCTTCAAATTTCTGGCCAGCCAGTTGCATTTAAATAATGTCATGCTAATTTAAATAATGTCTATTGATAAAATGGAGTATATGAATTTAATGTTATGAAACATTACCATTATAAGGTTTAATCATATAAAATTACCTTTTCTTTGTCTCTTGTCCAAAGGATTGTGACTTTGTAACTGAGAATCAAAACTTATTAATTTAAACTTAGTCATTTTCTGAGTTATCTATTATCCTTTCCAAATAGAAAGTTTGTTGGTGCAGTTCCTCTTAAGGGACATTTATTGCAGAGCAGTTTCTATAAGCTTCCATTTTTTGTGCCTTAAATTCATCCAGTCAACAGCATTGACTGAAGATTGTAGAGGACTGAGTATTCATTCCCAGTGCTGAACAATCTGGAAAAACTAAATGTTGCAGGCTGCATAGTGATAGCTACTGCTGCAAGAATTAGCACTATGTAAAATTACAAGTTTGTCCCATACTACTATGATAGCTCCATGATTGAAATGCATAATTTTGCTCTTACTTCTTTAATGAAGGTTTGCAATAATGGAAAAACAGTAGGAAGCTTTTTTTTCCCAAATGCAAATTACCTTGCAGGAAAGAAATAACAAAGGAAAGAATTGCCACCAAGGGGAAAAATTAAATCTTACAGCACTTCCTTGGGTATAGTTGAGACAAACAATTAGCATGTTAAGGATCATTATATCCCGTAATAACATGTTGCTTCAGAAATTTCTGTTCTTTCCAGTTATGGGTCCTATCTATTTGCTGGGTGACTTTGATGTTGCATGTCAGGAACCAACTGTGAGAGATTTTAGCATCATTGTAAATCTCATGAAGAATCCTAACAGTAATATTCTAAATAGTCTATATTCCTCATCCACAGGTTAAATGACTTCAATAAGATACATATAGATCTATCATTTGCATGAAATGGTAAAGTTAATTAAGCATTAGTTAAATCATTGTTAACTTTCTTATTGTGTACTAGGTACAGAGAATTTAGCAGTGAACAAGTAGATAAGGGTTTTGTCTTCATGGAACTTATAGATGAGAGAGAAAATTATACACATACACATATGGAAATCCCATTATTGATTTCTTCATATATTATGCATATGTTTGTTTCAGTTATCAATTGCTACATAATGAAGTACCACCAAATAACCATTTATTGGCTGATGATTCTATATTTTTGGCAGGACCAAACTGAAGACAGTTTGTCCCTGCTTCTTGTGGTGTTGGCTGGGTAGGTGCATAGGGCTGGAGGAGGATGATGTCTTTACTGGATCTTTGGGCTGGCTTTAATGAGACGGGCCTCTCTTCCTTCAGAGTCTCTCAACTTTTGGAGTCTCTCTCTTGGTTCACCTGACCTTTCCTTCCAACTATGTAGAAATTCTTTACATTGTAGTTAACTTTTGAAAGGGCAGCAAAGGGAAACTACGAGGTCTCTTCAGGCTTTAGCCCAAAGATCATACCTAGCCCCTTCCATTTTTTTTTTTCTCTTAGTCTTAAGAAGTCCCAGGGCCAGTTCAGATCCAAGGGCAGGGAAATAGATCCCCTTTTGATTGGAAGAGGGGGCATGTCTACTCAGGGGTGCGTGGAATTATTGGTGGTTGCCATTGTAGGGAGTCTAATGCATGCTTCTTCAGAGGTGAGGAGAAATAATATAACACCTTTTCCAAATTTGATGAAGGCTTCACAGCCCTTGCTATTCAGTTGTCAGTTTGTCTGCCACAGAAACAGGAATGTGACTACCTTTGAAAACAGAGTGATCCCTTTTAATCTCTGCTCTATTTCTTTTTTATGACTATATTTGGAAAACAATTTAACTTCTAAGATTATAGTGACTTTTCAACAAGTTTTCAGATAAAAAATAGTATGTTTACTGACAGGATCTTTTAAAGCCCTGTTTTAAGTGTTCATAAGTATAAAATATCACTAGAGCAGATGTAGAATCATAGAAATCTGAGGCTGGAAGGGATTTTAGAAATCATCTTTTTCATATTCTTAATTTTTCAGGGTAGGATACTAAGGTCTATACAAGGTCACAAAGACAATGTTAGAATGTGTATTTTCTTTGTTCATTTTGATTAGAAGGGTATGTTTAGACAGTTTGTTTTACAGTTTCATGTGTATGGTTATTAGATTTTTATTATTATGGCTACGAGAAAACAGATTGTCTTGGCTTTTGTTGGAAAAATTAAGGGATTATGCTCTCAGATCCATGCTTATAATTTTCCCCAAATTGTGTATTTATGATACAGATCTCTGAGTTATGGTGCTATAGGAGTAATTGTTGGACATGAGTTTACACATGGATTTGATAATAATGGTAAGTACTAGTTTATTTTATAAGCTGCCACTTTTGTAATAATGTTCACTATGTGGGTGTGAATTGTTGTTATTATCTTTGCATAGCAGCAGCATCATAGACTAAAAATTGTCCAATACAATAAATACAATTGCTGATTGAAAACTTTTCCACATGTCTTGCTGTGATAGCTTGCAATAAATAAACAATTATTCTCATTGGTAATTGGGGGAGAATAAAAAAGAAGACCTTGTAATTCCAATGAGATTACCTCTGCATTTATATCAGGATTGCTGTACCTGCCACAGTAGTTACAGGAATTGTATCATAGCTTCTTCCTTTTGTCATTTTTTAAAAATTCACCATTTTGAGATGTTTTCCCTGGAGGTGCAAGCTCTGCCCCAAAGATGACTCTACATGCTGCACTGCCAAGTTAGGCCTTTGAGCTTGGCTGACTGGTTTCTTTATGCAATTCCAAGGCTTATGCAATGCTTAATCATTGTTTTTCTTTATATTGGCATATATTCTGAGTTTTTCTTTTATCAGGGCTAGGCTTCTCTAATAAGGCACAATATAGAATATGTTGTACATCCTGATGAAATTTAAGCAAAAGAGAGCAGAATATAATCTAAACTAAAGAAATGATTGCCTCTGAGAGTCCTTATTTTAGATCAGCACTCCTTTCTCTGAAGTATTCTTGGAAAGCCATAGGAAATCTCTGACGTTTATGAATTAGCAAACTATTATCACATCCACAAAATGATTTACAGGCAATCTTTTATTTTATTTTATTTTTAATTAGTTACACATGACAGTACAATGACCTTGACATATCTTACATTTGAATCAGATGGGATATGATTTCTAATTTTTCTGAGTATACAGGTTGCAGAATCACATTGGTCATGCATTCACATATATACACACAGTAATAATAATGTCTGTACAGGCAGTCTTAAGAGCTTGGCTGGCCCAAGGAAATGCTGTGGACTTGTTTCCCTTGTGCCTATAGTGTCTCTAACATCCTTTACTGGATGCCTACCCCAGGGCCAGAGACATTTCAGGTTCTTTTTCTTCTGGACATTTCTTCCTGCCCCCACCAGCCTGCCCTTAATCACCTAGTTTTTCTACCTCTTTGGTCTCCCTCTCTCTGTTAAAATGTAACTGCCTTGTAATCATCTGACTTCTTGGAACTCATTTTTCTACCTTTGGACATTTGGTTTATCTGAGAATAGAGTCTTAACTATGAAACAAAAGCAATTGGTTTTTTATGTTTCTTCCTAGGAAATTTAAGTATGATTCTCCACCAGATCCATTTGGAATCTTTCCCAAAGGACAGAATTTTGCTTTGTGACCAATACTTAGAACAGTGTATTCACATATAAGTACATGCGCAGTAACTATTTAATGATTGCTTGGTTGGTGGGTGGAGGACAGTGATTCCACACCATTCCAGGTGGTAGTATTAGTAGCATACAGTCTTGCTAAAGAGTTTTGGATTGTTCTAATTAACACCTTTGGGTAGAGGGCTTTCATGTAAGCTCTTTCTTAGGGGACCCTTGTTTTGGAGACCTTTTAACAATTTTTGCATAATTAAATTTAAACCATATAGTAAACTTGAATATAGACAGTAGTCTAGATGTACCTAAATTGTTGTTTTGAAGAGTGTAGGGAAATTAGTGAGTTAGCATATAGCAATATACCATGTGTAACTAATCTTTTTTCCCCATTATGTTTTAGAGATTTCTGTTCTTGTTCCAAGTTCTCCTTTTTAGAGCAATCTTCCTTGTCTAAGTAGGAAAAATGGGTCCTTCTATCCATACTGATGACTGTAGATTGATTCATACCAGCTTTTATGTGTCTCTTGGCTCCTGGCAACTTGGAGGAAGCATGTTCCTATGGGGCTGAGTAGGGCATATGGTCCTATGTGTAGATAACTTGCTGGATCTGTTCCTATGGATCATTTGGAACTTCACTGATAGTGGTGCTCTGGTTCCCTCCACAGACTTTCTGAATGAAACCAATTCATTTCACAATCCAGAGAACATTTCAGGTCAGATCAGGTGAAAACACAGAATCCAAATTTGGATAAGACTGGTGCATACATTAAATTGAGGAATCTCATTTTTTTTTTAAAAATGCCCTTTGTTCCTTAGAAGGAAAGAATTTTCTCAATCCTTGTTCTCCCTTCCTCCCTCTTTACATTTAACCTGTGATATTGGAAAGAATGCAGAAGCTATTCTCAGGAAGGGTGTTCACTGCTGTTATGACTGCATTTTGAAAGCTTGTCAAGGTGAGAAAAAGGAAAGATGTTGAATTTAGTTTCCATAAATAACACTAATGTCTTTTAACTTTCCTTTTTGCTAGGTAGAAAATTTGATAAAAATGGAAACCTAGATCCTTGGTGGTCTATGGATTCAGAAGAAAAGTTTAAAGAAAAAACAAAGTGCATGATTAACCAGTATAGCAGCTATTATTGGAAGAAAGCTGGCTTAAATGTGAGTACAACTGTGGTTAAGGAAGCATCTCATGGACCATTTTTCCTCATTTGGATATTAGCTTGCTTTAGACCATTGGTTCTTAAAGTGTGCTTCTGAGATCAACAACATCTGCCTTCCCTGGGAACTTGTTAGAAATGCAAATTCTTGATTTCTTCTCCAGACCTGCTGAATCAGAATCTCTAGGGGTGGAGCCTGATAGCCTTATGGTCTGTCTGTCTTTTTATAATCCCCGTGGTGATTGATAAAAGCTGTAGTTTGAGAAAGATGGATCTATGAATTAATTTATTTGCCTAGAATCAGATTAATGTCAAAAAATCCTCGAGTACAAACAATAACATCCTTATAAATCTCCTACATCTCATGACATTTTCTTAAAAAAATTCCATTGAAACTATTGCTTAGGTTTAGTTTATTGAAATCAACTCTTATTAATTTGAACTAATAGTCTGAGAACTGGTTAAGAGTTCATAGTTTTAGAAGTTGAACAAAGGAAAGTACTTTTTAAATGTTTATTTTCCATTATATAATAATTTTCCATAAAGACACGAACACAATTTTATACATGGATCTGTGTGAATGATATGTCAATCCTTTCCTTTTATTGTCTTCACCTACATATCCTTTTCCTATTATCAGTCTTACTGTCCCTACCTATAACATTGGTTACAATGTTATACTTTCCCCCTGCTTGCTTAAAGGTAGGGACACATGCAACTTTAGTACATTGTATCCAATGGCTGCCTCAGAGTCCTGGGTGTGAATGTTCTGTTATAATTTAGTCAAATAATCTCTTGTTGAGGTGTTACAAATGCTGATGCAATAAACTCCTTTATTATGTGTATACTCTTTTTTCTCTATAAGATAGATTCCAACTGTCACCAAAAAGTTACAAAATTTCATATTTCCACAAGTGATGCATGAAAGAACATTTATCTATTGAGTTGTTTTCTTGTCAAATTTTAACAACCTTTTAAAATAATATAGATGTTAAACTTTTGCCTATTGTTTCCATTATATATATTTCCCCCAGATTTGTTACTTATCCTTTGGACTTTATATATGATATGTTTCAACATAAAATATTTAAAATTGAAAATCATTTCCACTTTTCCATTCTTTGTTAAGAAGTTGTTATATATTAAATCTTCTAGTTTTCCTGGGAATGTTGTTTATTGTTTTGTTATTTTACATATAATTCTTCATGCATGTGAAATTGATTTTTCTATGGAGTTTAATATGAGAATTCACTGATATTTTCTTCCTAGAAGATAACCAGTTGATCCAGCATCATTTATTAAAACAAATCTTTTTCAGTTAGTTGTGGTGGCATATGACTATAATTCCAGGAACTCAGGAGGCTGAGGCAGGATGATCACATGTTTGAGGCTAGCCTCAGCAACTTGCAATTTATTTCAAAAGTTAGATAAAAAGGGCTGGGGATGTCATTCAGTGGTAGAGCATTTGCCTAGCATGCATGAGGCTCTGGGTTCCATCCTCAGGAAAAAGAGAGCTAGAGAGATTGGGCGGGGGTCAGTCAGTCAATCATACAAATTGAGGGGAAAATAGTGGTCACCAGAGCCTGGAGATAGTAGGGGGTTAGGAAGTGGGGAAATGTTGGCCAATGGGGACAATATGATAGATAGGAGTAATAAATTCTTGTGTTCTGCTGCATAATAGGGTGGCTATAGTTAACAATACTGCATGGATCTCTCAAAATGACTAGAAGAAAGGATTTTTAATATACTCACTATGAAGAAATGATAAAAATTCAAGGTGATGGACCTGCTAATTACTCTGATTTGATCATTATACAATGTATATATGTTTTTATCACATTGTACCATATACATATGTACAAGTATTATATGTACATAAAAAAAGAATATCATATACACCAAGATAAATTCCCAGGTTTATGAATTAGGCAAGTTAATGTTTCTAAGTATCAGTGTCTTCAGCTATGAAATGGGTAAATACTTCTGAACTAATTAATTTGTTGTAAGAATTAAATGAGTGAAGTACTAGCATAATGCTGTTGCAAGAAGTGCTCAGTAAGAGATAGTTAATATTTCTGATTCTTTGTCTCATACTAAGAGGTAGCCTACTCCAGAGAAAATAAAGACTTGTAGGTCTGAAAAGACAACATTAGTTTTCTTGCAGTAAAAAGATTCTTATTTCTTTGTGATTATTATCTGTAGGCATGAGGGAGTTTTCAGTTAACTGAAATAAATGTGACCCTCATGATGTTCTTCAGAGGTGTACATATTACTAGGTATACATGCTCTACATATGAGAAATCTGATGATCAAAGAGATGCGTGCCCGCAGTAGAGTCTGGATTAGAGTTTATATCTTTATAACTCCAGAGTTGGCATTCTTATCCCCATATTATACTCTGGTTCTCTTAGTTTAAGTTCATTTTATACCTGGGTGATATATAGGTAGGCTGTTCTTCAGCATCCATTTTGAACAAAGTGTCAAATATTGAAACAGTTCTGACAAATGTGTATCTTCATTACAAGAACAATAGAAAAGGCATGACTGTCTCAGCGTAAGTCCATCCAACCATCAGAAAACGGCTTCTGTCTTATTCACACAGCAGAGTGGGTGGCTTCTTTTGTGGCCAAAAGGCGCCATGGTTTATTTTTTCTGGTTTCATTTGTAAGATTTAGTCTCTCTCTCTCTCTCTCTCTCTCTCTCTCTCTCTCTCTCTCTCAGTGAATTGGGAGGAGCATAGATGGGGTACCAAAGATACAGACTATCAGCAGCTGTTAAGTCCTGAGAGGTCAAACTTAGAGCCATGTCCCTCACTGAGATTGTCCATAGTGCCAGGAACCAGAGGTTGAGGATGCTTCAAAAGCTTCTATTTTAGTTATAAAGCTTAGACTAAAAACGAAGGAGAGATTTAAGCTTGAGTGGATATAAACACAAATAACAAGAGCCAAGAGGAGTTGAGAAGTTATGCATTATGGAACAAAGGCTCTGGAGACAGAAGACTGCTTAGGTTTCAATCTCTGAGAAATGTTAGCAGTTTACTTAGCCACTCTGTCTTACAGCAGGTTATTAGAAGCAAAGACCAAGGAGGAGTTTCTTAGATCAGTAATTTATCAAAGTAGTTTCATGAGAAATTTGTAAGGGAGTGAGGAAAACATATTGATTTCAGGAGGAGTTTAGCTTTACTCTGATCCCACAAAGGGTTCTAGGGCATGAAGCATACCATGGAAATTGTTCAGCCCAGGGGCAAGGGATGGGGCTCTTCCACCTGCATATTAGTCAGTTACTGGAAGGTGGAGTATAACTTCCCAACAACCTCCAGGTATGGTAGCTTTCATAAACTAAGGTTTACTTCCTGAGCTGTTATCAGTTACAGGAATGGGTTCATAGTCCTGGTAGAAAAAGGGATCCAATGGGATACTAACAACAACTGCTACATATTCTGAGTTTCAGATCTTCATTTATTAAATAAGAATGATAACAATAGGACTTACCTCATAGGATTGTAGTAAAATAATGTAGGTAAAGCAGGAATGCTGACTTTTGGGGACTAAAATTAGCAGGGTTATTCTGGGTGATTATAGCAAAAAATGTTTTCAAAGATTTTTTTAAATTTATTTGTTCATTTTAGTTATACATGATAGAGTATATTTTGACATATCATACATACATGAAGTATAACTTCCCATTCTTGTGGTTGTACATGGTATGGAGTTACACTGATCACTTATTCATATATGACCTTAGGAAAGTTATATTGGATTAATTCTACTATTTTTCCTACTCCCATCACCCTTCCCTTCCCTTCATTCCCCTTTGTCTAATCCAAAGTACTTCTATAAAGATTTATTTTTATTTGTTAGTATTACTTAATACCTGGGAAATTGGGCTAGATTAAAAGTAAAGAGTTGGTAGGATCCATGGCTTGTGTTAGTTTCCTGTTGCTGCTGTAACAAATCATTGCAAACTTAGTAACTTAAAACAACACTAATTTATTGTCATGTAGTTCTGTATGCCGAAAGTCTGACCCAAGTCTCAGTAGTGTAAAATCAAGGTGTCAGAAGGTCTGTCTTATTTTCTAGAGGAACTAAGAGAGAATCTGTTTCCTTGTCTGTTCTAACTTTTAGAGGCTTCCCATATTCCATGGCTCATGGTTCCTTCCTTCAAAGTTGGCAGTGGCCAGTGCAGTCTTCTCACATTGGATCTCTGACACTCTCTTGACCTGTTTAGGACCCTTGTAATTACATTGAGTCCACCTGAGTAATCCAGCAATGTTCCCATCTCATGATCCTTGACTTAATCATATCTTACAAGTCCCCTTTGTCATTGTGAGATAATATATTTACAAGTTTTAGGGATTAGGATGTAGACATCTTTGGAAGGCTAGTATTCTGCCTATTACACTGGATCTGTCAAATATTTTTGTAAAAGTCCAAACAGTAAGTAATTTAGACAATGTAGGTTATGTGGTCTCTGTTGTAAATACTAAACTCTGCTTTTGTAAAATGAGTAACCACAGACAGTGTGTTTATGAATGGGCATAGTTGTGTTCCAATAAAATTTAATTTATGACCACTGAATTTGAATTTCACATAATTTTTGCATACCATAAAATATTCTTCTCTTTTTTATTGTTCTTCCCCAATCATTGAAAAATGTAAAACCCAGTCATATCTGGTAGCCTGTACTAAAACAAGTGGCAGGGTGGCTTTGGGTTGTGAGCTGTATTGATTTAGAATATTTAAAATATTTAGGTTCTGGCTCATTTGAGATTTTAAGAAATGGTTTTCAAATAATCAGAAGAATGATCTTCTCTGTGCTTGACTGGGTGTCATACACATTGCAAACCTTGACCTTGTGGTCTGCACTACTGTTTGATTTTTGTTCCCCAGGAGAGCTAAACTTCGTTTAATTTTTCATGGAAATTACTAGAGGCAAAATGATAATGGTTGTTCTTGAAATCTTGTTCCTGTATGGATGGCAAATTTTTGGAAACATAGGTACAATGAGAAGAATACTCAAATTATATGAGTTAATCAGAGAAAGTAATCTGTGTATTGACATTTCTATTTTTTCCCATTAAACCAGAGTCACTCAGAATATTGTTAATATTTTATTGGAGCTAGAAAAAATTGGTGAGATTAAAGAGGGTGAGAAAGTAATGTGCAGCATAATAAAATAGAAATTATTATATTCAGGAGCACCTTGCTGGGGTTACTTTGCCATCTCGAAATATATTATGACTACCTCTGATTTACTGAATGCAATTTTCTCTTTAAAATATGACACTTTTGCTTGCTATAATATTTATGCCTCTTGCTGAATGATAGTTGACCGTGAAACGCTTTTTTTTTTCTTTTTGTTAGGTGAAGGGGAAGAGGACCCTGGGAGAAAATATTGCCGATAATGGAGGTCTGCGGGAAGCTTTTAGGGTATGAACTGCAATGTTTGCTGTGGTTTTAAAAATTAAGCTATAAAACACTTTATGGGTGCACCTCAATTTATACTGCAGACATGTTCTTAGGAGTTGGGTATTCTGGAGTTTCTATAAATAGAATTGTATTTCCCCATTGACTCTATTATACTCTATTACATAAATAGATCTGCATTTCTTTCTTGTTTTTTGTTTTTGAGGCATAAAGTTACCCTAAAGAATAATATTTGTTATTAAGAATCATGAATTTAAAAGAAAGTTTTCAGAAAATACACTCACAATCCTATCAAAGTATGCTACAGAAACCTCCTTGGGGCTAGGTACATATGAGTTTTCCCTGAGTACAGCTGTATCTCTCTACTTAAAATTTTATCTTAAAATACCAGAAGTCTAAATTATGGGCAGAGGCTAGTGATTCTCATGTATTGGTCCAGATAAGAGTCCATAATACTGTTTTTGTCATCCATTGGTCTTTGGTTAAATAAGAAACAAGTATAATATGGGAAATTTTTCATAAAGCTAAATACATTCACTTTAAAGACCAGGTTTTTGATGTACTATATATCATTTTCTTAAGGCTATTTATCAAAATATAATAAAAAGACCAGATTATTATTATAAGGCTATATCCTTCCTATATGCTTATTAAAATAAATTTTGTTTTATAAAATGATGGTGATCAATGATGATAGTTTTCCTGCTAATTGGAAAAAATAAATAATTGATAATATGTGTACCCACAGATATATTTCCCTGAGGGCCTTGTCATGGTGTTATTCTTTTTAAAAAGAATTATTTAATGTCTCAGTACTGTGGCTCAGCTCCTTTGGTAGTTATTGAATGTAAGGTCTTTTACTGGTGTACCTACTTCACTCTTAAGTAGAAAGACATTAACTTCTAGGTGTTTGTTTTCTTAAAGGAGAACTTGATACACTGCACTTTGCAAATGGCAGGAGTATATATTTAGTATCTCTGTATTGGAGGAATAAAGGGAAAATCATCATTTCACAGCTCATCTATCCTGTTTCTCTCACTAGGCTTACAGGAAATGGGTAAATGAGAGAAGGCAAGGAGTTGAGGAGCCTCTCCTACCAGGCATTACATTCAACAACAACCAGCTCTTCTTCCTGAGTTATGCCCATGTGAGTACACTGAGGAAGGGGCATCAAGGATGTAATGCAGAACTTGACCTTGTGGCTTTCATCATAGTTTAATGGCATGACTTTTGTCCAAAATATTATCTCGCTGATTACTTTCAGGATAAAGTCCATCATCTTAATGTTCTGTAAAACATATAATAATTAACCTATTGAATCAAAGTTCACTGGTATTTTTTAACCATTGAACTATTTTTTAACTAATTAACCATACTGTTTCTCAATATATCTGGACTTCTTCATGCATTTGGTACTACTTGTGACCATTTCCAGTAATGTGTTCCTTGAATTTTGTGGCTCTTCCCTTCCCTACATTTCTCTTTCTCCTTTGCCTCACTTGCTGAATTTATCCTATCCTTCTCAACCTATGGGGGACACTCAGGTCTGGGTTCCCAACTGTCAAATAAATACACAAGAACTGTTGGAGCTGAAAAATAACAACAAAGGCAAGGAGACTCATTACTCTTTCATGAGTTTAATATGTTATTGGGGCAGAAATTGGAAGGAAACACTAAATAAGGTATAATTCTCAGTTGAGTCTCTGGCTAATGAAGCAAGTACCAATTCTTTGCCATTGGTTATTGCACTGGTTTGTGTCACAAATGTATAGACAACATTTTCAAAAAAGTGAGGATGTGTCTATAAAGGTTCTGATGTATGGCCTCACAGTGGGCAAACATTTAAGTACATGCTCAAAGCTTGACAAAAGTTTTCATCAGTACAACCATTTGTTCCTAAGTCTTTGCATTCATTCTTCAGTAAGCTCATCCATCTCTTATTAAGGAATTCCTACCTGTTCCTAATTCCTAATACTCTGATTAAGAAATTCCTACCTGTCTGGGATCTTTTATCTCTTGAAACTGGCATGAAAACACCAAACCAATTATCATTGATCAATCAATCCAATGTCAACAAAATCACTTTCCTTTTTAGTTTTCAGATTTCTATTAACATACCCCCAGTTTTTTAATCTCCCTGGTTAGAAAGTCTGTTCTTGGGTCTTATTTGATTTAACTGTCCATATTTTACCAAATCTAGATGTTTCATCTTTAAAAAATTTTTTTTAGTTGTAGATGGACACAATACCTTTATTGTATTTATTTATTTTTATGTGGTGCTGAGGATCAAACTCAGTGCATCACACATACAAGGCAGGTGCTCTACTGCTGAGCTCCAGCTCCAGCCCAGATGTTTCATCTTTTTAATTACTGTTTAGTTTCAACTTCTCGTTCTCTCTTGTTTTAGGCAGTTCAGGCTCATAAACAAAAATGTATTTCTCATAGTTCTGGAAGCTGAAAGTCTGAAATCAGGATGCCAGTAGCATAAGGTTCTGCTGAATTAGGGGGAAACAAACATTCAGCCCACAGCATCCCCATTACTCTATCTCATCTATAGGCAAAGCTTTGATGTCTTCTGCTCTGGATTATCCCAACAGCCTTATGGCATGTATTCCTTACTTCAGCATCTTTTACTACTCTTTTACATTTCACTGAAATACCATTTTATTTCAGTACTGATCTACTAAAAGAACAACAGTGGTTCTCAAATGTCTATAACATTGAGTCTAAATACCTTCATCTGGCTTTCAAAGTTCTCAGTCTGATCCTTCTCCACCTGATCTGCTTTAATTTTCTACAGCTTCATTGGATCAGAAAGACTCAACCTTATCCAGGCAGTATCCCCACTTCTACCCCCATGATGTCATGCTCATTACTGTCATGCTTCTGAGTCTCCTTTTATAATGTGGCCCCCTCCCTACTTTTCCTCCCCAAATTATTATTCAATCTCAGCTTTCTTCTTCAGGAACCATGTTGAGTTTCACCTCATCCATAACTCTTCCCAAAGGATTCCAGTCCAGTCCTCATTATTTTCTTTTATCTCTAACTCCTATTTTACTTCCTTTTACTAACATTTAGTTGAGTACTTAATTGCTCTCAAAATGTTCAAGACTTTCAGGTTGATCTCCACAGCTAATCTTCTGGATCCTTATACTTGTTATTTTCCTCCATAGCACCCAGCAAAGATGCTGAATAGATTGAAGATGCTTGATATTTTTAGATCAATTGCTTCAAAAGGAAAAGGCTAACACAATTCAACTAGGTAGACTTCCTTTTGGATGATTATAGGGTCAGATGTTAAAATAAGCACACAAACAACAGTAAGAATTTTCTTCAGTTAAGGTTGGCAGTTTCCTGTTTTTATTTTATTTTTTTTTTTTTTTGGTTCTCGGCGGACACAACATCTTTGTTGGTATGTGGTGCTGAGGATCGAACCCGGGTCGCACGCATGGCAGGCGAGCGCGCTACCGCTTGAGCCACATCCCCAGCCCCTAGTTTCCTGTTTTTGTAAATAATGTTTTATTGGAAAATAGCTATACTCTAGCTGATTTCGTGTTACAGTGGCAGAGTTGATTAGTTAAACAGGAACCTTCTGGTCTTCAGAGACTAAAATATTTACTATCTGTCTCTTTACAGAGAGTCTGCTAATCCCAGATCTAGAGGACAAAGTACAAGGGTTCATTAGTTTTTACTGTTTACATCCTAGTCCAAATTACTTCTTCACAGATGAAATAAAACTAATTAATAGTGATGATATAGTTATAATTTTAAAATGTTTCCAAATGTAATATGAAACCATTTCTGATTTATTTTAAAGTAAAGAGATTTAGGGAAAAAGTGGAAAGCTATTTTTATCACTAATGAGAAATTTATCTTAGAGCTTTTCCTACTGACAGAATGAGGATATTTTCAATCTTTTGCACATTGGAGTTAAGTCTGCTTATAGGAAGCAAAGTTATTTTCCCTCCTGGGAAGGTACTAGGAAAATAGTAACAACCATAATGTGTTTTCAGAAATCTCTTAAGTGACATAGGTGACATAGACAATTATATATAATAATGCAAGGGTATAAGACGAAGTAACCTAAAAAGAAATGAGGTAAAAATCAAATGTCAAAACAAGTTCACATTAGATAGCTTCTGAGGAAATTAAAGAATCATTTTACAAAAAACATTTTCAAAATCAATTCAGAAACACAATGACTGATGATTTATATTCATCAAAATTAATGGCATCATATCACCTTTCCTGTTTCCTATATTCTTGCAGTTGCTGTGATCTATCAATTTCTTTCCTTGGATATTCTTCTCATCCTTCTACTTCTTTCCATTCCTATTCCTACTTATTTAGTGGATATTCATTGCCCATAAATAATCTTCTAACTAGTCTCTTAATTTCCTCCTTCTATTCTACATGCCTACCAGACAAATCTTTGAAAAATATGGATTTTATTTTCCTGCTCAAGAACAATGTTAAAATATAGTTTAAAAACTTTGGTCTATTGCTTAGGACTTCAAAAATCTGTTGCCATTCTGTCTCACTTGGTCTTCCATTGCTGCCAATTATATACAACCTATTGCAATCAAGTTCAGTGTCTTGCCTTCCCCCTCTCCCAATCATTTTCTCATTTGCCCTTCCATTAGAATGTTCCCCACCACCATTTCCATGTGTCCTAGTCCTGTTCATACTTGAAGATTATATCATATTTCAAGATATACTTTGAGTCAGAATTAAGTTGGTTATACTGCAGAAAAGAACAGCACAACGAAAGTGTATTTCTTGTTCATGCTCCAAGTCCATCATATATTAGCAGTAGGGCCCTGCCTGTAATTTTTACATAAGGGCCTAGGGTTTGGAATCTTTATCTTGACATGTAATTTCATGGTCACCACAGGTATAGGGAAGAAATGTAAGGAAATGTGCATTGCCCCTTAATGTATTCCTAAGGCTCTTAAAACTTCTGTCAGGTTTTTTTAAGCCTCTGCCCAGAAGTTACATCTATCATTCTGCTCATGTTTCATTGGTCAGAACAAGTTAGATTTCTGTGCCTAACTTCAAAGGAAATGGAGAAATGTACTCCTGTTCCAGGCTGAGACTAGGTTGAGGCAAGGAAAATACTTGGGGCAAAATAGTAACTTCTCATGACCATACTCAATTCTGAATGGCTGATTCACTTTATTGATTCAAATGAGCATGATTACAATTGATATGGGATATTTAAAACATTAAATTAATTGAAGGAAATGCATTGATTAATTTTGGGGCACATATATGATTTTTTTGATTTAAAGCACATGTCTGGAAACTTCCTAATTTACCAAATTGTATAATTACTCATATTGAAAAAAACTCCTACTCTGGGGATTAGAATAATAGATGTTACTACTGATGAAGGTTTTATCTGGTCTGCTAAAATTGTTTGTCATCTATTCATTCTAAAATTATATTTTGGTATAATTTGGAGAAGTTAAACTAGAAACTGTATAATTGGAATGGAAGCTTATTTATTGGGATGCCTTTCTCTTCTAGGTGAGGTGCAATTCTTATAGACCAGAAGCTGCCCGAGAACAAATTCAAATTGGTGCTCACAGCCCCCCTCAATTTAGGTAAATGATTAAATGGGTGATACAAGTTTTTAACTGTATATCTCCTGCCCCACACCACACCCATCAATCCATCCCAGTGTACTACTCATGAGTGATGCAAACAAAAGCCTGTATTGTGAAGGTGTAATCTCCATTTTGCAGATAACCAAATCTGGCCAAACAGAAACTAAACATCTTTTTCTGCAATAGTAGTAAGCTGGTATATTCAGTGCTTTTTCAACTAAATTTCTGTTGATGAGCAGTTGTACACATCTAGTTTCAAGAGATCCATGGGATTACAAAAGTAATTTGGAATCCAAATCATAGCTTTAGTATTAAATTCTATTTATGATCTTCCAGTTTTTGAAAGGCAGCAATACATGGGTGCTATGATCACCATGGGCAATCAGTAAACTGAAATATTCAAAACACCCAACTACCTAATTTTTTGGGGGGGAGATCTGAGCCAAAACCCAAATTTTATTGTCTCCAAAGAAGATGTAATATGAGGCACTTTGCCTTAAAACATCTAGAACTCTGGTTTGTTTCATGTTAAAGCATATTCTGTTTAATACCTCTTACTTTTTCCACACAGCCATCCAACAGACATAAATGCATGCCCACTTTCTGAATAGATCTGAACCCAAAGGAAGATTTATGGTGATACTGAGCAATTATAATTCATATCTAGAGTCAGGACACTATATTTTGGCATTCAGCTTGCATCATATTTTGAAACAATTGCTTACATATGAAGGGAACAGGATTATGAATTATAATCTTATTGTCAGAATGTATAAAGTATTAAATAAAAACAAAATTATGTTTGATATTACTTACCCTGTCCTAGGTTCCATAGCCCGAGAGAAATTTTCTAAGTAGAGGACACATAATTATGATAAGAAATCATAATAATTTATAGTTATTCATTCTTTGCTTTGAACATATTAACCTGGATATCTTTACATTTAATATTTAAATGAATCCATTTGCATATTGCAAGAAAGTCATCTGAAATTTCTTCTATATTTTAAAAATCTTATTCCTAAAATCTTGCCTTAGAAATGCTTTGAACATTGACCATAAATTACCCAGTAGCATAAAAATCTAATCACCGTGTTGGAAATTCTCCCCCACTGGGCTAAACTGTCATGAAGCCTGACAGTTTCTAATGGACTAAAAATGTGCTCCCACTGACAAATGGTGCAGATGAAGCCATACAGTAGATTAATTACTCAACAGTTAAGTTTTTAGAAACTTATTTTTACTAACTAGTTGCCTGTAATGTTGGATTTTAGCTGATAATTTACAGAGTATGCTTACTAATTATCAGCTATATTCTATCTTTAACACTTGCCTAGGGTGAAGCACACTATGAAATATGCATCCCTACCCATACATCCCAGTTAAAACACAAGAGGTTATGAGAATTTTTTGGATACAGGCCATTACATTCATTCAAATGCCTCTAGGTAACAAAGTCATTAGGGAAGAAATAGTCAGTGGCTGAGAATGCTGAGTTTCTAGTCAACCCTTTGAATGTGAGGTTGAGTGAGAAATAGATGAGGGGGGAAGTTTTTTTTAAACTGATGTCTGCAGTAACTATAGATTTTGAGTGCAGTGAAAATCACACAATGGAAATACCACTTCCAAAAAACACTTACAATCAAAGTGCTGAGTAGGAATCCACAGTCTTTATTGCAGTTGGGAACTTGCAAGAACACCAGATTTTGGAACTAAAATCTAGTGAAGAAGTATTTATCTGTAACAATTAGATGCTTTCCATTAGTTGGATGTTGCATTAACTAGATTCTAGGTAAATATGATCCCCCCAAACTAACAGAAATTTAGAGAAATTATTTTTGTAGACTGAAAAAATTATTTAAAAATAGTTGGAAATGAATGATTTTACAGACGTTGAGTGAAAGAAGTCAAAGACACAACACTGAATACTGTGGATTCCATTCATGTAAAATTCAAAAGCAGGCAAAGCTATGGTGATAGAGGTCAGGATAGTAGTTATCTTTGGTAGGGGACACAAAGGGGCTTTCAGGCTACTGGAAATATCCTGTCTTGATCTGAGTGGTAGTAATATTGGGTACCCATGAACAAATTAGTGGTTTCTACATTTAAGAATCATGTACTTTATATCAATTATACATTCCATAAAAGTTAAATTTTAAAAAATCTTGGAAAAACTAAGTATTGGAGATGGTATAGTTTTAAAGGATTTTGAAGAATGTTGGAAGAGTAGTAGAAACATTTGCCTGGCATTCAGGAGATGTTGGTTCTAGTCTTAGTGCTGTTAATTTCTTTGGAATTTTACTTAATGATTTTGGGCTTTAGCTATCTCTCCTGTAAACATATTAAATAAATGTCAAGATCCTTTCTAGCAATATACCATTACAATTTCATCCAGAACCTGTTGATGAATTAAATGACATGTGCTTTGCCATATCTTTTTTCAGGGTCAATGGTGCCATTAGCAACTTTGAAGAATTCCAGAAAGCTTTTAATTGCCCACATAATTCCTCGATGAACAGAGGTGTGGATTCCTGTCGACTCTGGTAGCTGGAGTGCTGTATTCTGCCATCCTGAGTCAACTGCCCACTTATTTAGGCCTATATTCCCCTGAGGACTTTTATTTTTGATCGTTTTCATTATTTGGGTAGATGACCTGCCTGGATCTAAACAGTATCTGTTGAGAGTCATAGATTTTAAAAAAGTAAAAGCAAGAAATGGACCATGGATTTTTCTTTAGAAAATCAAACTAACAAAAGTAAATCCCTGGGCTATGTGTCTTAAAGTGCTATCTGCTGAATTGTTGCTATTTTCCATTTTAGTTAGTCATAGCTCGATGGTACATACCATTTCAATCTATACCTTTTCAGGAGTCCTAAGTAGAATGTGTCCATCAAAAAGCTCAGTCTAGTAAACCTGTAACCCTCAGTGATGAAGACATGTGTATGCATATATAGAAGGCCTTGCTGGTCTTTGGACTGCATTGCTAGACTTCATGGACAGTCATTACTATAGCATTTCTTAATGCTAAGGTAGTTAAATAAGAACTATGTTGGATCTCCATTTTACATTTTTCAATGAAGTTCTTACTTTCAACTTTGGAGTCTATGTGAATGAAAATGTGTCTCATAACTTGCATCTGATGCAGCTGATTGCCTTATTCAGGTCAGCATGAACAAAGATGACAATAAGTCTACTAGGTAAAGGTTGAGTTTATCAAATAGGATGAAAAGGCAATATTAAGTCCCAGAAGAAGTAAAAACTCCTAGTCATGCAACAACAGGAAAACTAGGAGTTGAAATCTCCAAAATTTTGTCTAGTTTGCATGATCCTGGTTCTTCAATGAGCAGGTATTGATTGGAGGATTTTCCAATTCCCCATTAGAAACAAATGGCTTTCATTTCCTTTTAGTGCAAAGGGATAAACACTACATTGAGAGGGAGCAAAATGCTCTTCCATTTCATCTCAGTTAATGTTCCCTCTCTTTAAAAAGAAAACCTTTTAAAATTTTTCTTGATTGAAGCCATTTTAGAATATACTGATTCAATTTAAAATTCCTGAATAGAACTAAGGAATATAATTTTTACTTTTCAAGTCTTTGAAGAAAGAGCAGTACTGTTTTTGATCCTTACAGCATTATCCTTTTAAGTGAACCCCTCTATCTTTTAGTTGTGTGTGTATGTAGGATAAAACTGAAATAGCATTAAAGTGGTTACCTGGCGTTTCCTGTTTCTTAACATAGGCACCCCCCCCACACACACCCCATCACATTATTCATTGTACATGAGGTACTGGGTTAAGTGGGCCAAAGGGAAAATCTCAAAAGCAAAATGACAAATTCAGACTAACCACAGGAGGTCATTTTGCATCTCCGTGACTTGTCATCCTTTTAAAAGACATGTAAGTGTGTGCCACGTCCTTTTGTAACCATGGGAACTTCTGAAGAGAGAAAAATGGAGGGGAACCATCATAAGGAAAACAATTACACTGCATTAGTCAGAGGAGAGTGATTTTCCCCTTGACTTCCTCCTCTCCGAATGGATAAACTTCTGAAGGGCAGCTACCTTTTCCTCCTCTTAACCACAGCTTAATGTGACCTTAGTTTGTATGTCTAAAAACAAGTAGTACTAGGTCAGGGGTGCTGGAAATGTATGTGCCTTTTCTCTAGAGTAAGCAATTCAATTTGATTTAGACATGTACAATATTTTTTGTTTTATTCCTTACTTGAGTGCTTAAAATTAGCTAAGGTTTGTCATGCTTATATGAATAGTATTTTCCTTCTAGATTTCTTTTTAAAATTCTGAATAAACATATTCCTGCAGGTCAGAGAAAGTGTTTGATAAAAGCATAGAATTATGACTTTGGAAGTGGAAATGAAGTCACTTGTTAGTCCAGGAAAACTGGTTGGTGATCAGTTGGGGGTCTCACAGCTTCTTGATGACAGAGTTAACTTTTACTGATTAACTTTTCTTGATCTAACTCAATTCTACTGAAAATTGTGTGTAGTATGGCCATTATTAAAACAAACCAAAGTAGCAATATAAAATCATCACTATTAACTAAGACAATTTTGTAGGATCAGATTTCTAAATGCTTGTGTTTAACTCTTCAAATTATAGTCTTCTTGTCCTTCTCTTTGATATAGGCTGCTAAAAGAAACAGTCATTGATCAAGTTTAGAGGGAAGAAGATAAGATACAACTAGAAAGGAAAAGGAAAAAGTAGACAGAAACTGGCCTAAGAATGTGGCTCTGAAGAGAAGACAGGATTTTGGCGATCCTTGTTGAGCATATCTATTGGAGGAGAGCCATAAAGTTTTACAAAAATCATTATGGTAAATTAAAAGTAAATTACATATTGGATCCCAGACTGGCTTTGCTGAGCTTTTCACCAAGTGCTCAGCATTGGCGTCCTATTTCCATATTTTTTTCCTTTTACCACATGAACTGGGATATGACTAATGCAAATTCAGGATTAATAAATTATCCTCAAGTTTATTTAGTGCCTTGCCTCAATGGAGCTTAAAGCACAGCACATAAATTTTATCACTAAGAAGCAACTAGGAACTATGGCTTGCCAGACAGGTTATGCTCATGCCAGAGAAATTGACAGGCTTGAAATTACTTGTCAGGTATCTCAGAGTAAGAAAAGACAGAATCTTTAGGCTTTGGATTACTGCCCTATGGATTAATCATCATCCCTTAGTACTCCTATTTCCAAATATATTTATTCAATCAACATTTCTATAATCAAAGCACTTGATAGGCTTCTTCCTCAATATTTTTTAACATAATGCTTCTGTTGCATCTTAAATCATGGAAGAATATCCGATTGTTTCATACAATATTCTCATCACTAGTGGAAGTGTCCCACTGGTTCAAAGTAAGATGTTATTGGATTATGCATTTTTTATCTAAATAGTCTTTGTAAGACGAGTTTGATTGTGTTTTCTTCCCCTACTTTTGAAACAATAAAAACAGTATTTTAAGGACAATAAAAAGTAGCTTGAAGTCTTTCCATTTCTCTCCTTTAAAAAAATACAAAGATATAGTACATCTATTAATATTCTGTTTTAGACTGTATAAAAAAGTATACAATGCACTTTAGTATACTATCTCTTTTGGTTTAGGAAAGTAGAATTTTAATGTAGTAACTTGCTCTGTAGATAATTAAAGATTTATAAGGCAGTCATTATATTTTCTTCTAAAATGTAAGTCAGCAGATGTGGTTAACTGCATTTGCCATAATGTTCCCTCCAAGAAAAAGATATGCCTTTGAGGAAATCATTGACCATTATAGGGTTGGTCTCACAAAAGTGACATTATTGTTACTATCAAACCAAAGAACCCCAATATGCTGTTACCATTCTTTAACAATCCAGTCAATTTATAGTCATTCATTCAGCACTCCATAACTGAGCACCCATTATATTTACATCCCTAAACCAGCTATAGTTAGGTGGATAATATACTGTCTCTGGCTTCAACAAACAATCTGGTCAACATAGGAGATGCATATGTAAGTGGTTACAATTAGACCACTTGAGGTGTGGTTTGGGACACAGAGAAGGAATTATTCAACTCCCCTGGAGGACACTGTTGGTGCTCCTTCTGTCTGGATCCCAGCAAACCCCTTTGATGGGGCATTCTAACTCACCTTCTGTGTGCTTTTGTTTCTAATTTGCTATGGCTCTCTAGGATAGTTGCCATCATGCTACTGGAGCCTCTGTGCCCAGTGCACTTTCAGAGAACTAGAAGTGTGTGGTGACCCATAGACCCAAGTAATGGAGGATTCTGAAAGCCTGATTCCAGATAACTCCAAAGGCATACCATAGAATTCATACTAACTTCTTTATGGAGCCTATTTGGGTTAGGTTGCCAGTGTAAGTAGAGTCCTCTGTTCATTATTTTAAATACCTTTATGGCACTGATATGCTCTAAGATATGGAAAAGAACTGGTTTCTAGGCTTCTAGGTCAACCCATTGTGTTAGGTCATGGCATCATGTACAGGAAATATACATCAGATGATAGAGTTAGTGGATAATAAGTGGCTGAGTATGACCTGATAGTGCCCCTTTTGTAGAGTTTACTTTCTGAGTTTCTAGCTTCTGAGCTGATCCATGAAATGAGAATTTTTGTGTGTAGGGTAGTGGCAGAACTAAACATGCATATAAATGACCAAGTTTATGAGTGATCTTTGGGATATGGACAGGAAAGGAGGGCTTTGGGGAATGGAGACAAGAAGTCCAGAATCTCCCTTGCTGTGGCCTATATAACTTCAATTTTAAGAGATCCAATAGGTATTGAGTTTGCTTTCAAGTATATATCTAAGTGGACCTGATCAGAATTTGAAGGAGGCTAATGTTTCTAATTAGACTTAAAGTATTTACATTAATATTTCTAATTAGACTCAAGTTCACTTGCTTTTTTAGTAACTTATATCATACTAGCTGTAGAAACAGATAATCTTGATGGCTTAACACAGTTTAAGTTAACTTTTTGTTTCTGTTATATACATAATAGGTATTGATGATCCATGAATTTCTTTCCTCCAGCTGGTAATTTGGGAACTCAGGCTTCTTCTACCATTTTGAACACATAATTGAATATGTGTTCATCAGCAAGAAACTTGCAGAGGGGGAAACAACATGGAAGTGCTGAGTGGAAGATTTGGGATAATATTGGAAATAGTCTACATTACTTCTGCTCTGATTACATTGGCTAATACTGTCCTGTGGCCAAACCTAACTGCAGGGGAGGCTGGGTTATGTAGTCCAGCCAGATAACCCAAAAGAAGAGGAAATGGGTTGGACTCTCAGGTAGCACTGCTAACTGTACCTTATAAAGTGAATTCCAGGGCAGTAACTTTGAGCTCTTTTGAATTTAGTAAATTGCTTTTGAGCAGAGTACAATGAAAATTGAAAATGCCATTGGTAGCCTGCAGTTTATTCTGTAGGAGTCTTTTTAATTAACGGCTTAATTGGATAATTTAATCCCCTTTAGAATTGGAGATATGAAAATGAAAATGAGATACTCCCCGTGATCTGACAATACCGTGCTTTAATAAACACACCAAAGTGAACCCGGAAA